ATCATGTAAAATGCCGCTGAATGTCGCACTTGACGTTAAATGTCACGAGGTTGACGCTGAATGTCGCAATAAAAGTTAAAATATCGCAGTTGCACTTTCAACGCGAAATGTCGAACGCTGTATATGGCAGTCAGTTTTATGTATTGGATTTCTTTTTAAATTATCGATAAACTACAGTGTTCCATAAGGGCCTGCGTGTTTTCTCTGAGACTGTACGATTGTGAAAATACGACATATGATTGTGACAGTCCTACGTTCTGTCGTATTGTCATAATCGTACTGTCACCATCTTCCGGTCACCATTGCACTGTCACACTTCTACTGTCACCATTAACCGTATAACTGTCATCAGCGTAACGTCGCCCCACCATTGTACTGCCGTGTTGTAACTATCGTATTGTCGTTCTGACACCATCGCATTGTCGCGCCCCACCATCGTATTGTCGTTCTGACACCATCGCACGGTCGTTGTGACATCATTGTACCGCCAGTCTGACACCATCAAACTGTCGTTCTGACACCATCGCACTGTCGTTCTCATACCACCGTACTGTCGTTAGGTCACCATTGTTCTGTCGTTATGACAGCATCGATCTACCGGTCTGACACCATCGTTCTGCCGGTCTGACACCGTCGTTCTATCGGTCTGGCACGATCGTACTACCGGTCTTACAGAAGCATTCTGTCGGTCTGACACCATCGTACTGCCGGTCTGACACCATCGTTCTGTCGGTCTGACACCATCGTTCTGTCGTTCTGACACCATCGTACTGCCGGTCTGACACCATCGTTCTGTCGGTCTGACACCATCGTACTGCCGGTCTGACACTATCGTATTGTCGCGATTAACAGGCTAGTCTCTTCAGTAAATGTACTAGGATTTCCTTTTATGAGAGACCATTGTTTATTTTTTACATACATGCTTATATTTTATATTCGAATACATTACAGGAAGGCGATAATACGATGATGACACTTTGACAGTCAATGTTGACAATACGACAATACGATGGTGATAGTACCACAGTACAATGATGACAATACGACATTATGGTGGCTAAGAAGGCAGTACGATCACCATCATAATATCAAGCTTCGCAATCCTACTGCCATACTACGTACACTGTGTGTACTGGATTTTGATTATACTCACCACCTGCTGCCCAAAGGACGAGTCCTCCAGAAGAATGTTAGTCATTTTTGATTTTGGAGGATAGTGCAAGATGCCGATACAGAGAGATGCCCCTATTCTAGGAGCTTCTCCTGGTTCTTTAGCTTGTCATGTCTTTAAGCACTTATACACGAGACCTCGATTTAAAGTATCATTCGGAAGATTGATTAGTATTTTTAGTTGGACAGTCCGGGAATCGAACCAACACTGCTGTGATTACAACTCTTGTTCTCTTACCGATTGAGTTATACGGGCTGGCAGACCATCTCGCTTTACGTTCTCAGAGAAATGCTCTGGCCCTAACTGTACACCAAAGTAAACTTTGTGAGAGATATTTTCACACCCTTTGTTTTTTATATATACATAAAGTAGGAGGATGTGCATAAAATAAGAAATGAACGAAGACTTAATGATAAACAACACAAATAACATTGTAGACATACATAGACCTTGTTATATGATACACTTAATTATGGTTTGCAGTTATCGTTTATCGACACAAACACAAAAACAACACATGTACTTAATTAAACAATCGAATGCGCAAAACAATAAAAAAAACTTCCTTTCCTAGCGCATATAAATATAAAAGGGATTTATTACATGCTTTTCGGTGGTTTATAGAAATATATCAGTGAGTTAAAAACTGGTAATTTCACTGTTTGAAACAGTGAAATCATCGATTTGATAATTTCACTGTTTTGAATATTTGAGCCCAGTACGTTGTTTCAGTGAAATACAAGCGTTCACAGTACTGGAAACCAACTTAATGACGTGACGTCTTAAATGACGTCACGTTGTATTATTATTTGGCGCCCTTTTCATTTAGTACTAACTTGAAATGACTTTTTAAACGTTTCTTTGCATATAATAAAAAGAAAATTTGTTTAGTTTAATGTAAGATCGAAATATATTTCACCTCGTGAACACCAAAAGTTCATATTTCACTCGTGGCTGCGCCACTCGTGAAATATACCTTTTGGTGCTCACTCGGTGAAATATATTCTGATCTTACACTGAACTAAACAAATATTCTCTATATAACTTGTGTTTATAAATAATAAGCAAATCTTTGGAAATTTATTTTCATGTTATTGGCATATAATTATGCAAATTGTGTGAAAACAAATAAAAAGGAACACACATACAAACACACCCTTGCACTTTTCATTCAAAATACTACTAAAATTGTTTTATCACACAACCGTGCCGATTTTGCAACTCCATAAATATGGTATTGCACGGCCGTGCATATATTTTGACGTGACGTCATTAGCGTTATACAAACATAGTGTAAAGACGCGCTAAATGTAAGCGTTGTACTATAGGCGCGTCAATGAAAAATGACTCCTTTTTAACAGTAAAAACTGTTTACCGTTCTTATTTTATATATGTGATAAAAAGAATATTATATTCGTGTAAGTTCATTACTGAATTTATTGCACTCGTTGAATAAAATAATATTATGCTCGCCATAGGCTCGCATAACATAATTTTATTCAACTCGTGCAAAAAATTCAGTTTTAACTTACATGTACACTCGTTCAAAATCCTCTTTTATCATACAACCGTGCCGATTTTGCGACTCCGTAAAAATGGTATTGCACGGACGTGCATATATTTTGACGTGACATCATTAGCGTTACACAAACATAGTGTAAAGACGCGCTAAATATTAACGTTATACTCTTGGCGCGTCAGTGAAAAATGACTATTTTTTCACTTTAAACGGTCTTTATTTTAGGTGTGTGATAAAAAGAATATTGAATTCGTGTAAGTTCATTACTGAATTTATTGAACTCGTTGAATAAAATAATATTATGCTCGCCAGAGGCTCGCATAATATAATTTTATTAAATCTGGCTCGCATAATACATGTATAATTTTATTCAACTAGTGCAATAAATTCAGTGTTGAACTTACACTCATTCAATATCCTTTATATATTTGTTTCAAAGGGCAAACTATTCCATGTAATAGTGAAATATAAGCAACCAGAGCAGTTATTTCTCTTGATCAAGATCATTTCATTAAAGCTGAGACTCGAATGATTTATATTTGTATATTACATCAGTGTTATCAAAGTGAAAATTAGTTTTCAGATTTAATTAACAAAATAAATTATATTTTGGTATTGTAATGAACATAAATGAAATTATTGCTATATTAAACTATACTTACCGACCGTTACATCCATATATACACATTATTATATAAACCTTTTTATGAAAACACCGAGGGCATGTGTTTGACTAAACCTATTTCAATTGATTGAAACGTACACCAATATTCACTTGCTGTTCTGTCTTTCATGTAAAAGTATATCATTTTTACGTACCCTTGGCTCAATCGATAAAGAAATGTAGTAATAATTACTTACCCTTCTTGTGAGTTTGATACTTTTCCTCTTCCGTCTGTTTTGCAGTGGCATCTTGTTATGAAATAGATACATTAAAAACCCTCAATTAAGACCACCATCGGGACGAGACCAAAGTGGTCTTAATTGAGGAGTGGTCTTAATTGTGAATATTCTTATCAATGCGTCTTAATTGTGAATATTCTTAACAATGCTTACACACTTTTTGATCATGGTCTTTTTTAGTCATTTATTATGAACAAACAAAATATAATTATGCCTGCAAATACAACATAAAACTATGTTATAAATTAATATTTGATAGGAAGAAAGAAATTTAATATAAAATTCCATTTTGTCTGTTTTCAATATCAATTTTAAGTATTATATGATGTACATAATTCACCCATCAAATAAAAAATACGTTCAACACATAATCAATGTGTTTAAAGCAAGATTAAACCACTCTAAAATTTACTTTCTCACCTTATTTCATACAATATCCCAATGATATACAGTGTTTTTGACGGAAGACGGACAAAACCCCACCAGTTAAAACCCCACCACTCAAAATTTTATAGAGTGGACAAAACCCCACCACTAAATTTTATAGAGTGGACAAAACCCCACCACTAAATTTCACAGAGTGGACAAAACCCCACCACTTATTGGGCAAGATTTGATTAATTATAATATATATAATATACACATTTTTTTCACATTTTATTTTTTTATTTCAATATAACATTAATTTTGTGTAATATAAGAATGAACAATTTTATAAACAATGCATGTACATCTTGCATGTGCAATATGCAAAAAAGTTGTTACAAACTGTACACAAAAAAACTTAATCCTAATCCCTGAAGAACAAAACAGATTATTTATTGATGTTTTGATTGCAAAAAAGGTGTTACAAACTGTAACTCCTTATTGATGAGTTGTTCACACATTATTTTGAGTTTCTGCTGATGCACAATTGTTTGTTTTTTAACATGTTTACAAGAAAGTTTTGTCCACTCTATAAAACGGAAGTGGTGGGGTTTTGTCCACTCTGTAAAATTTAGTGGTGGGGTTTTGTCCACTCTATGAAATGTAGTGGTGGGGTTTTGTCCACTCTATAAAATTTTGAGTGGTGGGGTTTTAACTGGTGGGGTTTTGTCCTACATTCGTTTTTGACACCTTGTGATATTAGGTGTCATGCATTAGAGCATTGAAGCTGATAATAACAACAAATTTAAGATCTAGGTAGGTGCTGACTTTAAATCAGTGGTCTCAATAGTGGGGTCAAATAAAGAACAAAACAAAGAAATGGGACTGAATCTGGTGGTCTTAAAAGTGGATAAGTGAGGTGGTCTTAATTCTGGATCATGTAACCATGGACACAAAGAACAAAAATTCCGTACTTTCAAAAAATGGTCTTAATAGCGGGGTGGTCTTAATTCTGGGGTGTTCTTAAGTAGGGATTCTCATTTTATCGTTACATATCTTGATTAATTTTCTAAAGACACTCATTTTACAAGTCTTATAAAACTAAATATTTTCAATTAATAACTAAACTTTCAAACATTGCAGTATAGCCTTTTCACATACATGTATTGGTGAAAACCCCGAACAGCGACTTTATACCTTCAGTGATTTACAAGTAATTGAGGACGAAAGCATTTTCTTTTAAGTGTGCAATTTCTATGACCATATACCAAATGATCATTTTCATTATTTAAACCTAGGGCTTAACAATTCAGTGACAATCAAAAACGAATTAATAAACTTCATGAACCATTTCCCAGGAAAAGTAGCGAAATACGCAGTAAAGGCGTACATTTAAAGGCGTCACTTTATTAACAAGTAAATATATTGTATTTTAAGTTTGTTCACAACCAAGACTTTGTTTGTCAATTCTTCTAAATTATAAATATTTCTGTCCTTTAAATATGTATTAAATATTCGGTAGACCATTTGAGTTACGTTATTAAATAACTTTTGCAGAGTGAATAGTATACTATGTGAATAATATTATAGCCATTTTGCAATTTTTTATTTTGTTTATCTATGTGAACTATTTTAACACTTATAATTTTAAAGCCACTAATTATTATAAAGGATTTACATACTAACTTACTTACTTACTGTATTTATATTCCTCTACAAGGTATTGAAAGCTATTGATGATTTTTCTTCGAAAGTTTATTAACATTCTGAATCAATAAAGTTATGTTTTATCTTACGTTTTCAATAGCAAATTTGTGAAGAGACTTAATCAATTTCAGATATTTGTAACTTGCTCTTATTCTTGTCAGTATTTTTCGTAAAATCAACACCTCGGTTTTGAATAGAACAATTACTTTCTTCTTTACAAGTCTGTCAGATATTCAAACATGTATTTATGATTAGGCATTAACATTTAACAGATGTTTATGTTGTGCAATCAATATTAGTAATGATAAACAATTACAAATATTGAAAAAAAAACATACCTGCATCTTGTCGTTCTTTTATCGCCTCGATTTCTTTCTTCATTCCAGTAAACTCTGCTTCTACTTCTTTCTTCACTTCTATAACATCTGTTTGCACTTTTTTCATTTCCTCATTCAATCGATCAACATCGGCTTCATAGTCCTTCCACCTTTTTATTTCTTCTTGTATCCTTTTCTCTTCCTCTGGATCTAGAGGACAACCTTCAAAATCGGCTATCGCTTGATGAATGTTCAGAGCTGGAGAACTTCGTCGAACAAGTATCTGAAAGGAATCCGGACTAAGTAGCATGATTGTGGTTATCTTTTTATTTTGAAAACCAATCAGTTATTGTGTTGGTTTATTTTATTATGTTAACGATATGTCGTTCGGATACTCAGACATTATCAAATAAAATGTATAAGAGTATGTAAAACAAACGCATTGTTAATCTATACAACCCTGTCATCGGCTGATTTTCTTGATATAAGTTTTACAACTGCATCATCTTGAGGACAAACTTGAAAAAGGTTTTTACTTATACTGTAGAAATAATGATCTTAGCGTTTCTTTTCTGGCATTAATAAAGTTCATAATATGATAAAAGTGGAACAGTTATTACAACACACTTATAATGTTAATCTATAACATGTTAACGCTCTAGAAAATTCACAGTACCGTCGCTCTTGGAGGTATGAATTGGAGGGACTTGCATATTAATATAATAACCCTATTATCAAACAATTGTGCTTACCTGCTCAATGTCATTCCACCAATTGACAAAGGCATTGGGTTGTATAACAGTTGTCGTAGGTACATGACATATCTGAAATGATAATTCGCATAACAAGTGTATTAGCAGAAACATACCTGCAAATGTCTGTTTAATGAAAATAATTAAGTAAACGTTTTACCAGAAACATGTTTGATTTTTTTTTAATTTTTCAATGATGTCATGAAGATTTAAAATTTAAAAATGTTTGGGAGTTTCCTTACTTTAGCCCCTAAAGGGTACCCATGTAGTCAAAAAAAGGGAAATTTTAAATTTAAGGGCATAATACGGGGAAATCATGAAAATAAAATTTTTATTTTCCCTTTTAAAATGGCACTTTTTCTCCTTTAGAAAAAAAACCCAAAAATATTTTTATTTAGTGAAAATAGTGTTTTTTGCCCAAAATTAAAGATTCAATAAAACATTCTTGTTAGTACCGTTAAAATATAAGATATATTTTTAAGAAATTATATGTCATTCTTCTGTCACTGTGAAAATTTTCTAAAAGTAATGACTTTTTTACGGCGTACTTACTTCATTTCGATAGGCTTTTAAACCGATATATGTCTGCCTCAACTGTTAAATCGGTTGCAATAGGTTTTGTGTTCCAGTCAAATTTCTTATTCAATCCAAAAACACTTCAAGCATCTTAGAAGACAAGTGATCAGCGTGAAGTCCATCTCTGACGAAGTTGGGGCTTGGCCACCAGTTGGAAACAATATGTCATATTGTACCTGTGTTATAACACCGCGGCTTTTTAAAAACGTGTAATTGTTGCCTTTTCGTTATTTTAAACATGCACTTAGGGTTATTCCTTTAGCAGACAGGGTCTGGTCAATGATATTTCTTAGAACAAGGAGGCCTCCATCTATGATGATAATTTGTAAGCGAAATAAATTGGCCCGGTTGTCTGGCTTCTGTGCCATTTTCTTTACCTTTTCCCCACCAGGTTTTAGTTATAGCATCCCTCTGTTAATAAAAATCATGATAATTATTTTGCTATATACTGTACAATTGATTAATTGATAATTTAAAAATGAAGTTTCGAAACAGGAAGATGTTTTCAAAAATTATTTCTATTTATAGCGATATTTTGAATATAACAATTGTCAGATCGTTTGATGAAAATAAAATAAAAGTATTAAGATGTGGATATTTAAATGATAGTCATATGTACATATTTCAACTTGTCTGTTTTCATGTTTACATGAAGCAACGTTTACGGAACGCAAGACCAACAATATTGTAAACAACGGTGCACTAAAGGGCACAAAACGGACGGAGGCAGACAACTAGTGCTGAGAAGGGACCAATTACATACCAAAAAGGGAGCTCAAGTGTAATCAGAAGTTAAGACAATTGTTTAAGAAAGAAATAAGGGGACATTGTTTTTATAAGTAGGAAATCGTGAAAGAGATACACGGGTAATAATTGAAAGGGGGAGAAAACTTGCTAACACTAAAAAAAACTTCATAAAATAACTCCAAACATTGATGCAATAGGTATATGTAATGTTATTATATTAAACGTCCCGGTTGAATAATATTGTAAGAAAGCAGAAAAACACAACCGATCACGTGTCCATCTGTTTAACATATCACAATGAATCAAGGGAGGTGTACCGTAAAGATCGTGTTATACACGGGTAATAAGATTTAATCTTAAACATTCTGTTTTTCAATTCATATACCTGATAAAAAAGTCGTCTAATCATACTTAAACAGAGGACTTTTATATGCGCTTTTGGTCGATTACTTTTAAGGACGATATATATCTAAGTGATACATTTCAGCATACTTAATGCAAAAGATGATTTAATTCTTAGGCTTGTATACAAAGGTTCTTTCTTTCAAATATAAAATACCCTTAAATAAAAAAAACTTTGTTAAACAATAACAATTGTGATAGCGAGAGATAGACTTTAATGTGGTTTATAACCCCGCCAATCACATCTACTGTGTTTCAGTTTGGAGGTCTGAAACCAAATTTTAACTCAAACATTTTATTTCGTACTTGATAATGTTGTAAGAGTTGATTTTCTCCCCAAGTTAACTGTTTATTTTGCATTTACTGAACGTCATTTTATATTTAAAATGAATCACTTTAACAATTTAAGTGTTATGAAAACGAAATTTGAAAAGGAAGTTTTAATAAAAATATTTTTGTTAAAGTAATAAATCCACTGATTTTCAACACGTATCGAAATACTGAGAATTACTTATCATCCGAAAAAAATCTAGTTACATTTCTAATGTAAAAAATACTAAAGTTTCAATTGACAGAATAACCAATGGGGTAATTAATCTTGAAACCTAAATGAAAATGTCTGTAATGGTAAGTGAACTCAATTTCTGACACCAACATCTACGCATTCTGTACGCAATTATCTATATAAAATTATTATATAAATACTTGATTAATATTCAAACATATATGAACATTAAAAATCATTATAGCATTTGAACAAATCAATAGATCATATAATTTATGATGCAACTGCTAAGGTAACTTTACCGATAACACTTGCCTGGTAATCATTTTTAATATCAGGTTAGTAACCTTCATTCTAATTTTTTATCATCATTTCTACATTTTTATAACATACCTTTATAAATAGAGAAAAACAGATTCCCTAAAGAAAGCCCAACACGGCAAAATTGAAAATGTTGCAGACTCGGTTTGAATGAGCATGTCCATGGACGGTACTGGAATGTGCAAGTATAAGTCTCAAATCAAAATGTGATATTTATTATTTTTATTTCGTTATCAATTACATGTACGAACAAATAAGATAGCGAGTAGTACATCACTTTAATGAAGTGACGTCATATTTTATATAGCCATTCTATAATTTAAGCACTTTTTAATATTTCCTGTCGTCACTTTTAGAATCGTAGTTAAACATACAGACAAACTTTAACATTTGTGACTAACATTTATATAAGTACTTAGCTGTGTTCCCAGTAGCTTAACTTGAATTTTGTAGTGAAGATACTCCACGATTTTCATTCGTGTTTAACTGAAAATCAATCGTAACTGCAAAAAGTCGCTGTCGCTGGTCCAATTAAAGTTAAGATTGATGTTTTCAGTCGAAAATAATGTCGCAATAGCATTTTTCAAGAGCCAATACTTTTGATATGTATGCAAACTTTTACCAAATATCATTAAATACACTAATATGCCAGGGGCGTACCTTGACTTTTTTGAGGATACACCAATTACAGCCTCTTGGATCTACCAAGGGAAATCTAAGCGATGAAATGTCATTTAGTTTAAACAATATTTATTTCCAGAATTTACAAAACATAAATATACATTACAAACAGAATACATTGTATGATAAAATACATGAAAGACTGATGATATAAGTTAAAGATATAAAATGATGCTAAAGAGTTTTTAACTATATTAAATTCGGAAGAGGATTTGAAAACAAGTCTAAGACTTATGTAAATTCATTTCCTCAGTGGGTTGGAAAGGATGACGGCTGACTGGTCAAAATCATATGTAATGTTTTGAGATTTTGAAAAGTGAACAAAGGGTTCCAGTGTGGAACTGAGTTGTTTGCTACCGATAAAACAGTTTACTTAGTATAATGTATAAAACCTGCTAATGAAGTCGTTCTGTAACATGCGCAAGCACTAAGAAGTGAAACGTTTGGTGGCGACAATGTATTTTTGGATATTTGTGTTATGTTCAAAGTTGAAATGTTCAGAGCCATATAGTAAATTTTGAACAGTTAAATGACACTGAAGGTTTGCAAAGAAAGTATTTCTTTGAACTTGAAAGTTTGGACAAGAAAGAAGATAATGATTTACAGTTTCAATGTTACCACAGGAACAGTGTGAGTCGTTAACAATAGATTTGCGAAAGAGATCGTGATTTAACGAACTACAGCCTAGACGTAAACGAGTGTGAAGTATTTGTGCTTTTCTATCACCAGTGAGATACTATAAGGGGGGCTTTTTAAGTTGGCCATTCAATTTTGATTTAAAGATTTCTAAGGTTGAACTTGATTTAATTTCATCGGATAAATTGTTCCAGTCACGAATGACAGAAGAAAGAAAAGAATCTTGATATAGTTGAGTTCTAGAGTTTACAATCGGTATGTTATTGAAGTTAAGTAATTGTATCTATTTTGTGTTTGTTCAGGGATTATGTTTGATAAGTAATTTGGTGTAATGTGGTTTTTCATTTTGTAAAATGTTATTAGTTTATGTTTATTTCCTGCGAGTTGCTAAGGTTTCCCACTTAGTTTCGTTATAAAGTTTTTCAATGCTGCAAAGTTTAGTCGCTCCCGTGATAATACGCGCTGCTTCTATTTGAACAGATTCGATCTTTTGTTTTTCGTAATTATTACAGTTATCCCAGACAACATCACTATATTCTAATAGTGGTCGTATGAAAGTAAAATAAAGTTTTGTAAGACAGACTCTGTTTAGAATGAATTTGAATGCTCTTAATATTCCAATACGTTTCCAAGCCCTGATTACAACTGACGAGATATGAGAGTGCCATTTTCCATCGTTTTGAAAAGTTATGCCTAAATGTATATGTTCATCGAAATTTTTGATTGTGGTTTCGTTCATTTTTAAGTCAGGGTGAGGAGGTTTTTTTTTTTTTTGCGCGAGAATATCATGGATTCTGTCTTATTTGGATTGAAATCGATTAACCACAATTTTGCCCAAAAATGTATATTTTGCAAGTCATTGTTAAGAATAGAAGAGGCAGAGTCAGGTAAGTCAACAATAAGATAAAGGCTTGTGTCGTCGGCAAAAAGTCTGATTTTTTATTTTACTTTACTGACAATATCATTTATATAAACTAGAAATGTGTCATCATGCCACGGATGCCCCCGCATGCAGCCAAAATTTCAGATGGTGCATTAATTATTTTTTTCATTTTAAGTTCAAAGCCCTTAAAACTTTTCAATGTTAACACAAACCATTTTCATACAATGTTCAAGGCACTGAAATTATTCAGTCTTAAACTTTTAAAAATAGCATATTGCATATTTGTAGCCAAAATAAATTCAAACTTAAACTGCTTATTCCTAAGATGTATCTATATTATTTTCAAAGTGAAAGGGACATAACTCTGCAAAAAAAATCATCAAACCATGACCAAATTCCAACTTGACCTGCCCATTCCTTTGACATATCCATATGTCAAATTTAAGTTGAATATGTAACACTGTTGGGTAGATAATGAACAGAAACTGTAAATTTCATATTATTTTCAAAGTGAAAGGGGCATTACTCTGCCAAAAATCATTGAACCATGACCAAATTCGAACTTGGCCTGGGCATTTCAAAAACATATCCATATGTCAATTTTTAGTTGAATCTGTTGTACCGTTGGGGAGATAATGAACGGAAACTGAAAATTTCATATTACTTTCAAAGTGAAAGGGGCATAACTCTGCCAAAAATCATTGAACCATGACCAAATTTGAACTTGACCTGCGCATTCCTTTGACGCATCCATATGTCAAGTTTGAGTTGAATGTGTTGTACCGTTGGGGAGATAATGAACGGAAACTGAAAATTTCATATTATTTTCAAAGTAAAAGGGGCATAACTCTGCCAAAAATCATCGAACCATGACCAAATTCGAATTTGACCTGTATTTTGTCATGACATATCCATATGTGAAGTTTGAGTTGAATGTGTTGTACCGTTGGGGAGAT